GTGGAATTTTTCATAGACATATATTTTAATTTTCAATTATTAAGTAATCATAATTATTTTAAGAGTATAAATTATTTTTGAGTTCACAAAATATAAATTATTTTTAACAAAAGAATATTGGAAATTACTCTTTTTTTGAATGCTACTGACTCTATTACAATGTAGTATCTGTTCATAACCTACTGAAGCACAAAGAGCTAATAACGCCTCCACTGAAGTTTGAACTCAAAACCTCCCATGGAAATCCAATCCGAGTGACATTAGACCACAAGGTCTTGACATATTGAAAACTACTCTATTTGTCCTATTTTATCTATTTTTTTTGACAAATAATTTTTTAGCTGTTTATTATCGGCCAAACAAAATCTTTCTTCCTTGCTAATTTTCTTTATTAATTTTTAGTTATTTTTAAATATAAATTTTTGTGTTTTATAATACTTTTCATGTAGTTTTTAAATATATAAATTTTTATATACTAATATTAAATTTAATGTTATAAAAAATCAATTCAAAATAAGTTGAGAGACTTTATTTTGCTAATATGTGGTTAAAAGTTAAAAGCAAAGTCATTCTCAACCTAAATTATAAGTCATGATGATGGGTTGACTTTGGTTTGTTTCTACTACTTCTATCACACTCCATTTACGCATTGGGGCTGTTTAATTTGTTTTCTCAGGTTATGTTTGGACATAGGTCAAATTCACATTGGTATTTTCAAATTCCATATTTGGATTCACACTACATACACTCATATAGATTTCATTGTCTGTATATATATAAAAAAAAAAAATTATAATATCATTACTACTGTAATATGTGCTTTATAAAATTATGCTCTCCTTTCTTATTACCTTTAGTAGAGGTATAGTAAATTTGAATCGACCCGTTTACTACTTGGAATATGTCAGTCTAAATGTGAGTGTGATTAAATCTTGAACTGAAGACAAGTCGGTTCAAACAATTTAAAAAAAATAAAACAATGCCCAACCTAATTTATAGTGCTACAAGTTTTTTAAGAAACTTTACAAATTAAGAGTTATATATTTCAATATATAAAATATTATTCATGTTGATTTATAACTTAAAAATTATTATTTTGAAACATAACAGGAATACAAATACATGTAAAAAGCAATAATCAATATTTTTATATTTTATATTACATTAATACAGTTTCACTTCAAAATTCACGGATCAATGAGATAGGCTTGGGCGGTCCATGGACAAAAAATGATGGCTTAACTCAACCCATACTACAAAGCAAGTTATCATTAGCTAGTTTGAACCTTGTATCCAACAGGTCGAGTTGGAACTGGTTTTTCAGCTAACCAACCCGTTTGACACCTCTAACCCAATAGTTATGATGTGCATGGTGCACACGGTTACAAAACGACGTTGTTTTGACTAAAAACGCGCATCTCATTTTAAAAAAGAAAAATCAGTTTCGATTCCCCTCAACAGCATTATTGTGGATATATAGTTATGAATTTGTGGATATATAGTTATGAATTTATGGATATTTAGTTCATTCATTGTGAATATTTAGTTCATTCATTGTGGATATTTAGTTCATTCATTGTAGATATTTAGTTCATTCATTCTGAATTTTGTGTTATTCATTCACTATAGATATATAGTTATGAATTTGTGGATATATAGTTATGAATTTTTGGATATATAGTTATGAATTTATAGATATTTAGTTCATTCATTGTGAATATTTAGTTCATTCATTGTGGATATTTAGTTCATTCATTGTAGATATTTAGTTCATTCATTATAGATATTTAGTTTATTAATTCTGAATTTTGTGTTATTCATTCACTATGGATATATAGTTATGAATTTTTGGATATATAATTCAAATTATGCACAAAAAAAATGGTATTGTCGAGAATCGGACCTGAAGTTATTTTTTTAAAGTGGGATGCGCATTTTTAGTCAAAACGACGTTGTTTTTGCAACCGTGTTGCACAGCATAATTTGCCCCTCTAACCTCTAGCAAAACACAAAATACAATTTAATGTTAAGCATTTTTTTTAAACTAATGTTAAGCATTTGTATCTTATAACAATTATATATAATTATGATAGCTAATCTTAAAAACAATTTAATTCTTGACTTAGATACTGGTTATAATGTTTGAAATGTTTCTTTATATATGTAGAATGCTTATTTTGATGGATTTAATTCTAAACTTGGGCGTTTGGTTGGAGGGGGGGAATTATGTGGGAAATGAATTGTAATTCCATGGGAGTTGAATTACTGGGAATAAAGTGAGAATTTAAATTCCAGTGTTTGGTTGACGGGAATATAATTAATGAGTATTTCAATTCTAATACTTGGTATACATGGAAATTGAAAGGGAATAAGTAGTATAAAGTCAAAAATGTCCATTATTGTTGTTAGACATTAATTTTAGGTTAAAAAAAGGAAGGGGTAATTTTGACTCATCACAATCTTTTTTTCCCAGGAATTAAAATCCCGGGGGGGGGGGGGGGGGGGGGGGGGGGGGGGGGGGGGGGGGACGAGATTTTACAGGGTGTTTGGTTGGAGAGATTTTAAATTTCCTTCCCACTTAATTCCCACCTAATTCCAAAGACCATTAAATTCCGTAGTTTGGTTGGAGGGAATTGCAATTCCCCCATTTTCATGGAATTAAAATCCCATGTCCCCCCTGGTATTTTAATTCCTGGGAAAAAAAGATAGTGATGAGTCAAAATTACCCCTTTCTTTTTTAACCTAAAATTAATGTCTAACAACAATAATGGACATTTTTGACTTTATACTACTTATTCCCTTTCAATTCCCATGTATACCAAATATTGGAATTGAAATTCCCAGTAATTTTATTCCTGTCAACCAAACGCTGGAATTTAAATTCACACTTTATTCCCAGTAATTCAACTCCCATGGAATTACAATTCTTTTCCCACATAATACCCTCCCTCCAACCAAACGCCCTGTTAATTCCATGAAAATGGGGGAATTGCAATTCCATGGAATTGCAATTCCCTCCAACCAAACTACAGAATTTAATGGCCTTTGGAATTAGGTGGGAAGTGAATTTAAACTCCCTCCAACCAAACGCCCTGTTAGTTGTTGAAAGTAGATATTTTATATGTTATATTTTTAAAAAAGAGTAAATACCACCTAAGGTCCCTCGAGTTTGGTGGTTTCACAACCTATAGTCCCTAACTTTTGTAATTACCATTTGTGGTCCTCCGAGTTGTGAAATTTGACCAGTTGCCATCCTTCCATTAATTCCTTCCATCTAAGCCGTCAAAAGTGGGGGTAAATTTGTCATTTTCCATACTGATTCCTCTCCCAGCTCATCACCTCATCTTCTATCAACGCCCCATTTCTTTTAGCTCCTCTTCCGATTCCGACTCAGTCTATAATCTCCATTGTCGTAGCCTTTCCTTCAATCTCCCATTCGAATTTGTAGGGTTCGTAATTTGGGCTTCGTCGATTGCTCGAACGGTAAGGAGAATAGGACCGCTGGTCATGATGGTTATTATGAGAGGAAGGCTCATACCTTGAGTTGTCTGGACTATGGCTACGACTCCTGCTGTCGCTGAGACTGCGACTCTGGCTTCGGCTAGAGCTACGGCTGCGACTCCGATAATGACGGCGATACGAATCGGATTCTGGAGAGTACCGGCTACAGTCGCGGCCGCTATCTCTGTGGCTCCGGCGCCATTCTTCTGGGATTTCAATCGCAGAGGTTAGTCGACCCATTTCACGATAGGCTTTGACGAGGAAGGGTAAAATGGCAGTGGTTTTGGAGACAATGATGAAAATCGCTGGAGATCAATTGTGCCCAAACGAATGGCGGTGACCCATTATCACACCCTCATAATTGAGCTTAAGTTATGGCCTTTTGGTGAGTACTAGGCATATTATACGATCTTTGCCGTCGACTAAGAGGGTGTCAGCCGCCGGAAACAGAGGGTGTTGGCCTCCCTCAGCTTTACCGGCGAGGTTTTTCCGACGTCGGTGTTGCAAATCGAAACGGCTTCTTCGTTGGAAATTGATCCTCCGACTTTTCTCACTCTCTCTTTACAGGAAATAGCCAACAACTAGATCAAAATGGGCAGGCAGAATTTCAACCAAGATACGATCTTTTCACCCGTAAGTGATGAAACTATCATCCAGATTTTCCAATGAAAGTGAAAATTCAAATTTTATGCATTTTTTTTTCCTCAAGATGAGGGCCTGGTTTAGGTGGAATTCCTAAGACTCCATTGAATCCACCTTCACAGCCCTTGATTTACTCTGTTGTTCGTGCGCATCCATTTTTCCTCTCTTCTGGGCTCTTCAATTCTTAGAGGTTAATATTATAATCAGAAAAATTATTAGGGCAATCTTTACAGAATTTACTAAACCAGTTGGGTCTCATTGTTTGCTCAGATCACAGATATTTTTGTGTGAATTCAAATATGAATCAGATCACTAATATTTGCCCTTTAAAAATAATAAACAAAGAGAAATTACTAATATATCCTTGTTTTAGACGGTGCAAACGGAAGGACAATAGAAGGTATGATTTCGCAACTCAGAGGACTACGAATGGTAATTACGAAAGTTAGGGACTATAGGTGGTTAAACCACCAAACTCGAGGGACCTTGGATGGTATTTACTCTTTTTAAAAAATAATTTTATTTTGTAATTTTTAAAATTATCTGTGCGCCAATTTAAGAGAAAGGCCATCGATGTTAAATTCTTTAGTGAACTATAAATTATAATTATTACAAAATATAAATGTTTAAAATTGAATTATTTAAGTTTTAAATGTTTATACATAATTTTTATGCATAATTAGATATAATTATCACAAAATATAGAATTTCAATATTAAATTACAAAAGTAAAATATTTAACATCAATATATAATTGTTACCAGAATGAATGTTTGCTTAAAAAAAAAAAAAAATAACTCTTGTAATAGTCAACCTATGGGCTGCAGTCAACGCGTGTCTCCTCAACCTCAAATTCTCAGAACATCATCATAGATCATAGGTTTAAGGGATCTTCTTAACTCTGCAGGTTAGGAACTTGGGATGAACAAGAAATCTGAAAACTGAAAAGTCTCATATTATAATTCATTGAAAAAATCAAAAGTACGGAGTTCTTAAAACCCAAAGTCAAAAACATCATTAATCTCCGCAAGAGTCCTTAAATGTTCAAGTCATTCCTCCACATCCACTGCCATGAAAATTTCCAGAACCTGCCTCAACAATCTCAAGATGCCCTTTTTCTCAAGGTCCAGCAAAGGTAAATTTTCTGCTCAAGCAGGCTTCAGAGTTTCAGTAATTGGATTTTCTTGCTTTCTTGATTTGCTTTTATTTACTCAAAAATGGAAAAAAAATTGTAACTTTTTTGTTATATGTATTGTTTGATCAAATCAAAAGGTTCAACTGAAGATGACCTGGAGAAAATTGCAGCCCAAGAACAGAAGCAGTTCCCCTTTGAAACCCTTGTTTCTGCAACCAAAAATTTTCATCCCAGTAACAAGCTTGGTGAGGGGGGTTTTGGCCCAGTTTTCAGGGTAAATAATTTTTACCAAATTCAAGTTTTTTTTTTTAAAGTTTCATTCTTTTCTGACTTTTGAAATCTGGGTATCTTCAATAGCTCATGAATTATTGATAATTTGTTGTGATGGAGAACTGAAATTCTAAGTAAGGTTTGATTTGTAGGGAACTTTGAGTGATGGGAGAGAAATAGCTGTGAAGAAGCTGTCACAGAGCTCAAGGCAGGGGAAAAAAGAGTTTCAGACCGAGGCGAAGCTATTGGCTCGAGTGCAGCATAGGAATGTGGTTAATTTGCTAGGATATTGTGTTCACGGGACAGAAAAATTGCTCGTTTACGAGTTCGTGTCGAATGAGAGCCTCGACAAGATTCTCTTCAGTAAGTTCTGCTAATTGCTTACAAGTTTATCGGTCCTAAGTTTTTGCATTGCGATAGATGATGAATTAGCCTCCCTATCGTTTTCTTGAAATCTATCGAATTAGAAACTAACTGAAAACCTTAATATGATACTATTAAGTATGGTAGCCTAAAAAATTACTAGGAACCAAAATGTTGCCAGCGACTTTTTTGTTTTCTGAAGTCTTTTGATACAGTTTACGTTTTCGGTTGCTATGCTGGTGAAAATTCAAAGCTGATTTGTTCAAGTCAATCATATTGATTAAGGCAAGAAATTGAACCAATTGATTCCCACTAGGCCTTGCCTTTATAACCACCGAAGAAAAAAAAGGTTTAAAGAAGCGAAGACTTTAGTTTTGTGTCATTAAAAGACATGAATCTTAATTCTTACGGTCCTTTTAGTTTTTGTTTTGAAATTTTCTCTTGTTTGCTACAAACATAATCTTACTGACTAGAATATTCTTGAGCTAGAGTCTGGCAAAAGAGATCAGCTTCATTGGAAAAGAAGGCACGATATAATTAGCGGTGTTGCCAAAGGCCTACTATATCTTCATGAAGACTCGCATAGTTGCATAATCCACCGTGACATTAAGGGTAGCAATATCTTACTCGATGATAAATGGATGCCGAAAATTGCGGATTTCGGAATGGCCCGACTCTTCGCTGAAGATCAAACGCACGTTAACACCCGTGTGGCGGGTACCAAGTATGTTTCCTCGAAACCTAAAATGTTGTTATACTAGACTAGATCGTATTTGTGGGGCCCTTATTGTATCGGCTGACTTGAAACAGTGGCTATATGGCGCCAGAATATGTCATGCACGGCCACCTATCCGTGAAGGCAGATGTGTTTAGCTTCGGGGTCGTGGTTCTGGAGCTGATCAGCGGTCAGAAGAATTCGACCTTCAACCAAGATCCCGGTTCTCAGAACCTACTAGAATGGGTAAGAATTTTATCCATCTATTATGAATTCTGTAGCCCGCTTTGCTCGTTTTATTTTGAGTTAATCTTTTCACCTGTGCTTCAGCTTAGTTTATATAGTACCCAAATATATGTCACTGAAGAACTTGAAAAACGTTCATATTACAATTTAAAAAGGAGAACTATTTAGCCTAATTTTGCTTTAGGTAAGTAACGTATATTAACTGGCTGGTTAGTACAAATAAACTCTCCTTGTTTCGTGTCTTGTTTGATGGCTTACACATGGTTTGAATTTTCTATTTGGCACCAAATTCAAATCTTTAAAGTTCGTCATTTCCTGGGAAAAATACAAAATCTCCAGATAAGAAATGACAAAGGAGAATACAACTTTGAATTGTCTTCTACACAGTTTTTCTGTTTCCATGTATAGAATGGTGTTACAAGTTTCTGGTGTTTTTTAGCATTGGTCTTGAAGAACTAATAGCGATCTTATGCTAGTTATCGTGTTTGCTCTTTGGTTCTATTAAGATATCAGCTCTGTTTTGTAGATCTTATTTTAGAGCTTAATAGTTCATTTTAAACTACAAATAAGCTATAAGATATGTTTGGTAAAACATATGGAGCTTAAAATAATAACTTATATTTTGAAATGTTACCATTTACCAAACAAATTTAAAATAATAGCTTATTTTGAAACGTTACTATAAGTAGCGTTTAATATATGCTAGTAGCTACTAGCTTTTAAGCTTTCAACTTTAACCCCTTTAAGTTAGCTTTTAAGCTAGGTATGCCAAACATAGCTGATCGAGACACGATTCTACATTCTACGTTTAGCGTTGTTTATGGTGACTTTAACTTTGCTCCAGGCATACAAGCTATACAAGAAAGGAAGGTGCTTGGAGATTATGGACCCGATGTTGACGACATCCGCCATTCCAGACGAAGTGGCGATGTGCATACAGATCGGTTTGTTGTGCACGCAATCCGATCCACAACTACGGCCTACCATGAGACGTGTTGTGGTGATGCTATCGAAAAAGCCAGGCAGTCTCGACGAAGAACCAACGAGACCGGGGTACCCGGGCTCTAGGTACCGAAGGTCTCGCAGGCCAACTGCGACGTCCTCTAGTGCCGGGACTTCAGGCGCCTCGGGTTCCCAGTCGTTTGGATCCACCTCCACCGGTAGTGTTACTGCTAGTGCAAGCACAACTAGTCGTACAATTCCCAAAATAGATCGGGGGAAACGCCCTATACAAGAGTAGTCTCATTCTTTTGGTAGTGTAGTTATATATAGTTGATTTTTGCTTAATTCTTTTGTGCATATGGTGTTCATATTATATAGAGTGAGAAGTCTGAATTATTGTTGCGGAAATGCACATTATTATAGATTTAATTCTTTAGTTATTTGTAGTGTAAATTTAATCCCTATGTTTCAGAAAAGAAATGAGTTGGTCATTAGTGTTTTTAATGAAACCATAATATCAGGGATTAAATTTGACCTATAAATAATTGAGAGATTAAATTTATATCGTAATCATAATTGAATGATTAAAAGTGTTATTTCTCAGTTATATTTTCAAATACTTGTGCCATTTGAATGGGTAATTTATGATAAATTTAAAAAATACTCCGTAATTTAATAACCTTACCAACTCAATACATTTTCACCAACATTTTGCATTTAAAAAATAAAATAAAATAAAGCTCAGATTATTTACTTGCCCAAAAAGTAATTTGCATTTAGCTTAGAATAATTTTAAAATTTTAAACTACATAGAAAAAGCAATGGAAGCAATAATCCCAACCCGATCTTGTAAATGTATTTTTTTTTTAACAAGAGAAACATATAATCACTATCCAAATGTGTGAACTTGGTAAATATTTTATACAATAGTAAGTGTGTTTGAAACAATATGATATACAATTACACATTAGTCTTTATCCAAAATAAAAAATAAAAAAAAATTCAAACCCAACCACACCAACAAAAGCCTAATTTCTTTGTTTATTTTATTAACATTTTAAAAACTTTTTTTCAAAAAAAAAATAATAATTAAATGTTCCAATAACCTCTTGGTCTCGTGGTAGGAGAGGCACAAAATTAACCATATGTCAAAGAGTTCAAGTTAGTCACATTGAGAGTACGCAATGTTTTATTTATTAAGTATTTAGTCTCTATTTATGTATTTTTATTGATGTAATTAATTTATAGTTGGTTGGTTTTATCATATGATAGATTGCAATTATATTACTGTTGAAAATTTTAGCTAAAATGACAATTTTGAGTGGCTATTTTATGGTACAAATATATATGGGGTCCACTTTCGATTTATATTGGGTCAAAGTAGATTTAGGTTCTTCGTCGATATATTGTATACTCAAAATAAATAATAGGTGAATGAGAAATTAATTCTCAAAGTGAACCTATATAAGAAATCAAAATTCACGAAAGGTGCCAATTTTGGCAACATTTCGGAAGGTGTTAATTAAGCACCCAAATCCACTTTAACCCGACTCAAATCGTAAGTGGACCTCACATATATTTGTACTACAAAAATAGCACTTATCATGTCATTTTTTGCTTTTTTCTAACAGCTCCTAACATCCTCGGCGGGTAACGAATCGGCGCTTTTAAAAAAAGTGTGAGTATCACAAGACTTGGATCCATGTTCCTTGCTTTCTTCTTTTTCTTGTCAGTAGGGATTATTTTCCCAAAAATTAAATCCTTTTGTATATCAGTATATATATTTATGTATGTTGGTTAGGACTATAATCTTCAAGATTATAAATTCCTTTATTTTCGAATTATATATATTTGTGTGTGTGTGTATTATTTTGTAAAATTGACTTATTCGACCTATAATTACTGCATTCATCGAGCTAAAAAATTATAGTAATATATCGAGAAACAAAATTTTAATATAGTTTTAAAATACATTAAATTATTATTATTATTATTATTATTATTATTATTGTTGTTGTTGTTGTTGTTGTTGTTGTTGTTATTATTGTTGTTCTTATTATTATTAGTTGATGAGAGGAATTCATAATCACTACCTAAAAATATATGGGTAAATCTTGCTCTAGGAAGACTTTGTACGACCTTTACATACAAAAATCATGTTCCACCTACTCGATTACATGTAGCAAAAATCCTCAAACATTTAATACAACTCAAATTCTCCTTTTAAGTATCCGGAAAGTGGTGAATTTTTAACCCCTCTCAACCCACAATAATGTAACATTAAATAACTTTGTTTTAGTTTTCAAAAAAAAAATAACTTTTTTTTTTTTGGGATAACTCGTGTTTAAATTCACTAGCCAGCTAGACTATATCATGGGCTTTTATAAATCTACCTTAAATCATATAAAAAAGAAAATTTTTGAATTGGTCAAATAATTCTACATTCTCCAGCCATATGTACACTTCTACCCATACATAAGATTCAAATATTTTGTGAAGTATGTCACTACTCACTATATGTTATTAAACACATACCTAATATGATTGCAACATACAACGGAAGATGACATATCATGTGTGCAAATTTCGGTAAAGCAAAAGAACATATAATCAGTAATATAAAGTGAAAAGTATGAAAGTGATTTTTTATTTTTTTAGAAAAATTCATAATCACTATCTAAAGTATACACAATGTAAATATCATTCTTATGTAATAGTCATCAAGCCTCATCGAAGAGATAATCAAACTAAGAAGACCATGTGCAAAATGATATTTTGATACGATCGAAAATTATATTTCACCCATTTGGTCACTCTTTTTTAGGCGCCAAGGGCCTTTATTGAATGTATGGGAAATACAATTGGTACGTGACTCAACAATTATGCCACTTGTCATTTTTATAATTATTAATTAAATATTATTTATTTATTAAATTATTTTTTTGTATTATTTATAAGGGTAGCTAGTTTTGTTTAACACAATTTTTTTTTAACTAGGTGTTTAAATTAAAACTATGACGACTTAAGCAATGTTGATGTACTTAATACGTGGGTGTATACGAATGAGTAGTAGTATTTTGGTTCAGTTCGTATTCTCCCACAAGTGGGTCTGCTTGTTGTTTTAAGTGGTTGAGCTCGGGAATGGTGACAGTGGGTCAGAGAGTCCCGAGCTGACAATGGTTAAATGAAAATGCCAAAAGTTCCCTTAGTCGACCATTAAATGAACTATTTATAGGGAATGAGAAGGAACATATATTGGGCATCCCACATGCATGACACGTGTTATGCGTGCACTCGTTAGGTTTAGAGGCTGCGCAATGGTGTCCAAGCGTTGCAGTATTATTCTTGGTTGGCCACTAGGCGGTGGTGAGGTCGGATCGCGATCTAGAAGCGATGCTTAGTATTCTAAGTGACCATGTTCCGGTTGAACGGCCTGAGCTCACAAGGTCGGGACCGAGCTCAGGGTAGGGTAAAGGTTCACACTAATTAGTTGTATGCTCATCCTTCGTATTGAGATCGGGTCAGTTTGGCATGTGGTCGGTAATAGTCAGAAATTATTCTCCTAGGTGTACAGACCGGGTGCAAGCAGATATACAATGGTATACTTGAGAAATATATTCCATCAAATGCAATTGCTTAATTCATTGTCTGTTTATGCTTACGTTCATAATTTATTTTTTAAAAATAACATTCTTACTCTCGTCTCTCAGTGAGTCTCTCCCATCTCAAATTTTAGATCATCTCATTCACTAGTTGTACTACTTTCACTACTATCACCTACTTAACTAGGGTTGTACTCTTTGATTACCTTAGTTTGACTTCTCATCATTACCTATATTCAAACCTTACATTACCTAATTACTAAACTAATTTAACTTATGCTATCATTAATATGAGATAATTTTATCATTAAATCAAGTTTTTATCCCTTTGGTTTAAAAAAAAAAAGCTTTTATTCCTTTGACCCATGAATCATTAAACAATTTAATTAAAAAATCAAGTTACAAATAAATAGAATCAATTTTTGTTAATAAAGTGGGGATATATATTATAAACTAGCAAAAGCAAAAGCAAAACATTGTTTGACATTAGAAGAAAAAATGGGCGTAATCGTAGTATGGGGGACCGTCTTTAGCGGCGGTTTTGATCGCAGCCTTGTCTAGCTGTCCCTATGTGTAGTCGGTTTCAGAAATTTAAAAGAGGTCAACTCCCCGTATACTTTTTCGGTGATCATCACCTTACTACCGTGCTCCTCAGCTGCACTTGATCTTTACCTCCACATCTTCCGCTTTTCTGTTGGCGTTAGATCATTCGAAAGTGCACGCGGGTCCCACTTCACGCACATGCATGCTCCATCTCGTCAGAGCTGTGATCAAGTACAATTCCGGATCACAACGAGAGTGTATATCCTTACCATTTGTATTTATTAAATATTAAATAAAAATAAAGAATGATAAATGTTCACAACTTCAATTTTTGTACAAATGTAATTATGTCATCCAATTAAAATATTTGTGTGGCATTTAGAGTGAAGTTTTTTTTTTTTTTTAAACTTTTTGAAGAGTTTTTTGTAAGTGTAATTAGAAAAAATAATATGGGAGGAAAGATAAAAGAGATTTAAAAAAAATAAACTAAACTATTTTTTTTTTAATAATTGTCCGCGCGTCGGGGAGCGCGCCGCTAGGCGCACTTGTGACATGCACGCAGCGCACAGACTTATTTAGTGGGTCCCACATTTCTGCAAAAAAACTCCTCTGTTGTAGATAAACTCACATCTTCTCACTCGTCTTCTCTCTCCACTAACTCATCATCTAGTGTTTCAAAAATCCTCAATATTCACTGGTATAGATGCTCTAACTCAACATTGATCATGTAAACTAAATTAGTAATTATAGTATGAGAAAAGTGGCCGAGAATATTAATTATTAACACATGAAATCTATATTAAGATAAAATTGCTGGAGTATTTTGAATTAATTAATTTGTATTATGTACCATATTGAATTTAGATTTCACCACATATAATACTCTTGCCCTTAGCAATACAAAACAATTTAGTATCCACATATCTCTCTCATATCATGTACATGTATTCATCAATACAAGATGGTAGACATTAGTGGCAATTGTAGACAAATTGGTTGAACAGTTGATTTGATAATCATAAGTGATGGAACTAATTGAAATGAGATCTGAATCAATCAATCTCGAATAATGAATAAGAACAAGATAAAGAAAATATTAAAGAAAAGGACAAAGATTGTTATAAAATTACTCATTGAATTCTTCATGTATTACAAATGAGATGTAGTAAATTAGTAATTAGACCAATAACATGTGTTTACTAAGAAAAAAAGTGTGCTATTTAAATTACTCATCTTAACTAATTTTCTGCAAATAAGGCGGTTCAAAAGAATAAGTTTTTGCTTTATCGATACGTCGCCTAATCCTGGAGGCTGACCCTTGTGAGATAACCTTGGAAGTCGACCTCATTGTCCAAGTATTTTCGTGGACTTCGTTTCCTTTGACGTGGCTACATCTAGTGGTCAAGTCTAGGTAATGGGGTAACATCGGGACCGTGAGGCGACATGACCTTGACTTCCATAGGTAGCTTTTTGTTAACTCCGAGTCTCTCTAGCACATATTATGAGCTCATGCCTAGTCGACTCGACTTTCCAATACGATTGGTCTTTTGGTTTGAATGCTTTGCCTTTAATTCGTGCAACATCTCTTAAACTTAAAAGTTTAGACCGAGTATGATATATCAATTAATAATATTCCAAGTTCAATTTCACAAAATTGTCTATTGTGCTTAGAGCATCCGCATCAATTGGGGAGATTTAGGGGATAATGTAAGAGTGATTAGGAAAGAGAATGTGGGAGTGTGGAGAAAAAGAAAAAAAAAAAAACAAAAACTGAAATTGAAAAAAAAAAATTAATAGAAAACTGTAGCGTCAGGCGTGCTGACAGCGAGCCTGACGTGCCACACGGGCGCGTGGAGTGCACGCGCCCGTGTAGCAATTGGCTGTGCACATTTTGCGCACAGCCAGCTTTTTATTTTTAGTTTTTTTTTCTGACATTATATTGATATTTGTAGGACAAATCTTTTCTAAAATAACTCTACTCCACATTTGTTATTAACCCCACCTAAAATAATTCATCTGACAATAATTCCATAATAACCATTAATGTGGATCCTCTTATTATTCTTGTGGTAAAATTTTTGTTCGCATTAATTAATAAGTATACACTATACACTCCATGCCACTTTGCAAGTTTTGAAGGAATAGGATACTAGGAGTGAAGAGCCAAAAAATTCAAATTTGGATTTGAAATTGTGTGGAGACATAGGGCCATAAACGTAAATTCCTGCGCTCAAAATTTTTGAAATCAGACAAGGAAAAAGCACAGCCACGTCACCGATCCGTGGCACACCCTCCACAGCCTCTCGCATACCGTCCAATTCAAGCCGCAACGATCACTTGACAACCGTCCGATCTCCACTTCCTCCGCTCTTCTCCTTCATCCCTTTTTTTAAAATCCCTTTCGCTCTCAAAATTTTCACCATCCCCAATTCTTCTCCTTCTCCCTATCCTCTAAAAATTCGTTATTTTTCTCTCTCTAGAACTTGCGTTGACCGTTGACCGCGGTTTCTTTCTCTAAGGTTGTAACATCATGGCCACTGTCGAAGACCAGCCGGCTAACTCCTCTCTCCCACAATACCCTGAGGTAGTTAGTTACTGTTTTTTTTTTTTTTTTTTTTTTTTTTTTCATAATTTATCACCTTGGAACTAACTATTTTGTTGTTGTTTAGCTGATAATGGCGGCGATTGAGGAGTTGAACGAGAAGGGTGGGTCCACAAAATCGGACATTTCGAGGCAGATAGAGGCGGCGCACGGCGGAGAGCTGCCGGGATCTCACGCCACACTGCTGACGCACTACCTCGACAAGATGAAGCAATCCGGGCAGCTGGTGTTGGTGAAGAACAACTACATGAAGCCGGACCCAAATGCGCCGCCGCGCCGGGGCCGCGGCCGTCCGCCGAAGCCGAAAGCGCCTCTACCGCCGGGGTACGTCCCCCCGCCGCCGCGTCCTCGTGGCAGGCCGCCCAAGCCGCGTGACCCGTTCGCTCCGGTGGTTTCGCCCATGAAGAAAGCTTCCGCCGGCGGCGGCTCTGGCCGGAAACGTGGAAGGCCCCCGAAGTCCTCCACTCCCGCCGCCGCTCCCCCTCCAGCCAGCGGACCTCCGAGAGGGCGAGGCAGGCCGCCGAAGGTGAACCCGGCCGTGGCAGCCCCCGTTGGGGCTTGATTGAAATAAGAAATAACTTCAGTGACTGTAGTGCTAATCATTCTCCTTAGATTTTGCATTTTAGTCCTTGTAGTTTTGGGTTAATTTTAATTGTAGCGCTTTGTTTTGTTACTGTATGTGAGTCGGTGAATGTAACTAGGGATGCTGTAAATTTGTAAGAGGCAAATGAAGGTGGAGGCTTTATAGGCCCTTCTTGTTTTACTTTCCTCTTTTTAATTTATTGGAGTGATTTTTATTTTATTTTTACATTTTTGTTACTTTTTTTATTTTTACTGTCTTTGTAATGGGAGAATATATAAATGGCTATGAGTTGAATGACTTTTAGGTATATCATGAAGGTGTCTTGCTTCTATAAGGCCTTCTTTTGATATTTATTGGATCCCTATAATGCCAGTGCTTTTTAACTTTTTAGAAAGAAAATATTCCAATTTGTATTTTTATATCATTATTATATTTTTACTTTGTAAGAAAAGGGGAGCACCCAAAAAAAAATAAAAAATTGATTATTGTTTTTAATGTCTTATTTAATAACTTTAATTTCTTTTTAGAGGTGTAACTAAGAAGAAAAAAAGCACTAAAAATTATATTTTACACATTTGTCTTTCATAATTTATGCTTCAAAACAAATTTCTTTAAAAAAATTAAAATTTTAATAGACCAACTATTGCTTAAATAAAAATAAAAAATGAAAAATGTCAATAGTTAAACTATTTTTTTTTGAAATTAACTCTTAAAGGGATTACTTCTCAAAATCTAGGTTGAGTAACACAATAATTTTGAAATTAAAACAAAAATTAATGAATATGTACAACAAAAATTAGGTTGTATACTTGTATAGTTGTATATGTATACGGCAAGCATGTTATATATTGCATGAAGAATGCAGTTTTGATGGCAGCAAACATTTTCTTTTGTTGTTTCAATTCAGTCTTTGACATTGACAACCTACAACCCTCTTATACTTAGGTATAGTCATGTCACTTGCAAGGTTTTTTTTTTTGTTTTTTTTGTTTTTTTTTTTTGTTTTTTGTTTTTTGTTTTTATACTCGGAAATAAAAATTTTGTCAGTTATCACATATTCACATATTCTGATTTTATTAAAAGCAAAAAATTTGTGGACCGATCAATATATGCAGTATAAAAAGAAAGTAAACAATAAGAAGTGACCAAGAGGGTGTTGTTGATATTTAAATATGAAAATCATGCTCTACTATTTTGACTACTATTTTTGAGATTATATATATATATATATACACATACATACATACATACATACATACATATATGTGTGTGTGCGCGCGCGCGTGTGTGTATATATGTATGTATGTGTGTGTGAGAGAGAGAAATATATCTAATACTCCGTACCTTTTAATGCAATGCTTTATGGTTTAAAAAAATAGGGAGAATACTTTTTGTTGGATGTAACTTCTTTTCATTCTTTTCCTAACTAATAGATATAATCGAAGTACTTTTAGTTTAGTTATTTTTTTAAAACATTTTTAGACAGAGACATTTAAAAAATTCAAGATAAAGGGAGGTAAAATTCAAATGAGAAAATAGTTTACTTGTAAAAAGTGATGATTGATTACAGTCGCACATTATGATTCATCAATATGATAAAAATTTTTCTCAAACAACTAACCTAACAACTTAGTTTTGTTAGTGATCGAATTACTAATACAATTACAATGTTGGAATGCCGAATCTTGTATGCGTGTGATGTTAAAGAGCTTCAAGCTATGCCTTCTATTTGAAAAATTGTTAATTAGAGTTTATTTAACTCTTGATTTCTTTACTATTAGTGAGATTTTTCACTTTGATTATTGACTTCTTTTACAAGATTATTGAATTTACTTTGTTTATTTTAATTCTCAATTTAAAAATTATTTAACTATTCAGTTTAAAATATCCTAAATTCACCCATTTTGTGAAAATTTAAACAAACTTCACCTAATTGCAATTAAAGTTATTTTAAACTAAAGTATAACGAGTCTAAATGTTGATAACTAAAACTGAAACAAATTAAAATTGAAAGTTCGAAAGTGAAATAAACTCTTTTAATTATATTCTTTATGTGTCATCTTTTCCTATTTTAATTTATTTGAACCCTAATATTTATTTTTAGGGATGCTTAAAGATTAAGATTTTTAATTTTTTTCTCAAAAGTGGAATTTATAATATCAAAATTAAAAAAAAATGATGATGATTATGACTCTATAACACAAAAGAAGACAAGCAAATTGAGGTTTATTAGAAGTTTAACTTAAATTTAAGGATATTCTTGCTTTGCAAATTAATAGAAAAGATAAATCGTGAGATGTGTCTCAACTGAATGATATGCACCAAATAAAAACTAAATTTTATATTTGGTCTTTGGTAGGATCAGAACTTTGCACATTATGAGTGGTAGCCAAGGAAAGTTTATGGAGTTGTACTTTTTTTTTTTTTTGGGGGGGGGGGGGGGGGGGGGAGGGGTAGTGATTTGGTGCCAAACATTAAATATTAGGTGTTTGATGGGTGAAACCTTTTGCCTTGTTAGGTGGCAGTATATTAGAATCTGTGTTGAGTCTGTTTTCTTGCTTTCCATTGACATAAATTTCTTTTAGCATAAAAGAGGAATGGAAACAATTGAAGCAAAGAATATGAAATGATGGCAATAATATTTAAATTGTTTGTACTATCTTTGATGCTACTCATACTCTCTTTGCTTGGGGGGGGGGGGGGGGAGGGGGGATTATAATTTAAAAAAATACCACATTTAGTCCTATGATTATCAAAGTATTTTTAATTTTGTTCACGAATTTAAAAATTGTCAATTTTAGACTTTTAGTGCATAAGAGGTATCATAATTACAAGGTGGGTATTACAAGTAGCATAATAACGCAATTTTGGACTACCTTTCGAAATTTGTGCTTTTTGTTAAGATAAAAAGTATCAAAGAGGTGATCGGTGTGACTCCAACTGTAATATGATAGTGCTGTACGGAAGTCAAATTGAGAGTTGATAGTGGACATATTCATTGTGGTGCAAATGAATGTGCCTTTTTAATTGTTTGAACTGATTATCTTCTTATCATTGAGTTGCAATGTTTTGGTACCCTTTCAAATGGTCTAAAATTATTGTGTTTTTTTTTTTTCTTCCTATTTTATCAGCTATAAATGATCTAAACCTTTTATAATTTTATTTGTTGTTATTCTCCTAGTATGTTTAAAGAAAATACAATTGTCACTTCTTTTACATACTAGTTTTTTACGCGCATTGCGCGATTGGGATAATGCCCAATGAATTTTTTTAAATAAGTATTTTAAAGTATATTAAGGCAAGATTATATTGAAATTGTTCGTGCATAGATAATTGAAAGTTGAATTTGCGTATTTAAATAGGTAATTCTTCTCCCAAAGGTTGAGTCCCCAACCCCAAGGGCCCCCCACACTCCGACCCGACAGAGCATTGTGGGAAGTTGTAAATCACGGTGACTCAATGGTTTAGCAGACCCACTTTGGACATAATTCCTGCATTGCCGCCGCCGAGGTTCAAACCTTGGTCTCTTCTCCGAAATACTACCCACTACACCATTGAGCTAAGCTCGTGCGGTTTAAATAGGTAATTCTAAGTTTACAAATGCAAGATAATATAGTCAATATTGATTATAATTGTCAATAAAATAATTGTATAGGTATGGTTGAAACCAAATACGGGACATAAGGGAGAACAAATAAAAATTAGGGCATAAAATATTAAATATATACTAATATTGTTTGAGGAGATTCCGACATTAGGATTTGTGGTTAAGTTCTATTAAGACTTTAATATTAGAATTAAATAAATGGTGTAGTTATAATTCTATATTAGACTTTAATATTAGAATTATACTAACGGTGAATTAACGAAAAAGTTAAATGGATAATCATATAATTAAGGATAAATTAGAAAATCTTAAAAGAAAAAAAATTAAAACCTGAACAATATGAACCATTCATTTGATTTAATAATTTGGCGGTCATTTTTTCTACCCAATGTTAATAATTAAATAAATTCGTTGGTCAAATCCGCTAGTATAATCCGTTAATGCTAACCGCTAACTGCTGATTGTCAAACAAGGACATTGCGAGGTAGTTCTCACTTCAATTTGTTGTGTGATTTGAATACTCTCTTTGTCACAAAATCTCTCAAAAGTAGTTAACATGGTTGGCTTTATTAATTATATTTTTTTAAATTTTTTCATGGTATTAATAAAATACTTGATAAATAAATATATAGCATTATTTTATGTTATAACTTTGATATTTAATTAGAAAAATAGTGCACAAAAAAGATAATAGATAATGTAGTGAATATAATTAATTGATGAATTTGAATGTAAAAAATTTTACATTTGAGAAAAATAAAGATAATATAACTAATGAAAATATTTCTTTTAATTAATTTATTGATAATTAATAAAAAAAAATTTCACTGAATAAAGACATTGTAAGGACAATGTAGCGAATATAATCAATTAATAAATTTGAATATAAAGAATTTTTATATTGAAGAAAACTAAAGACAATATAACTAATAAAATTATTTATCTTATTTAATTTATTGATAATGAATATATATATATATATATATATATATATATATATATATATATATATATATATATATATATATACATATTTTGAATAAAGACATTGTGGACACATAATTCTAAATTAAAGAAATGCATATGTATTATTTTTTGTTGTAACTACTAAATTATTATTTATATAATTTAATAAGGGTAAAATAGAGTACTAATTATGCCAACTTTGATTGGGATGAGGTTCGAACCTAAGACATTTTTTTTATTGAAATCAATGAGTAAGTTAACGGTGAACTAACGGCAATTCTTAAAATTTTAACGGAATTAGTAACGGTGTGTGGGTATTTTAGGAAATTTTAGTGTAAAATTTAAATATGATCAATCTTTTAATCAATTTGAGCCATTCATTTGATTAAAATCTGTGACCGCCATTTTTTCTACCCATTATAGGCCTAACTCTCTTGGGCTCTTATTAGTATAGTATATATAGTAGATAGTAGATGTTGGTGTGCACGCATTATTTAATGGCTCCCTACCAAATGTTTAAAGAGCATTTAATTTGGGATGAGAGAACTTCCAATCATATTGTTCTTCTCCCAATCAGTTAAATTCCCAATCCTAAGACAATAGTGTGAAAATTTTGAAGAGATTTTACTGATGTGATTAGGAAAGAGAAAATATGAGGAAAAAAAAGAAAAAAAATTAAAATCTAAAAAAAAATAAATTAAAATTACGCGCCCGACTGGGCGCGAGAGTTGCGCCTCACTCCCCCCATTTGGGAATTGAGGCGCAACTCTCCCTCCTCACATGTGGATCCCACGGTCCCACCCCTCTGTAAAATCCTCATTTTTGCAGGACAACCCCATCCCTCTCTCCTACATCTTCCCATTTTCTTTTTAAAATCTGTGTAAAATTCTCCTATTGGGGATGGCCTAAGGGCCTCTCACACTCCGCCCAATAGAGTATTTGGAAGGATGTAAATCATGATGACTTAATAACTTATACATGACCAAATGTCGGTGCGCACAAGAGATCTGCACTTTGAACATAATCCTTACACTATCGTTGCCGAGATTCGAACATTGGTCTCTTCTTTTAAATATTGCCTACTGAACCAATAAGTTAAGTCTGTAAAGACTCTTCCAACCATATATGTGACATTAGAGGTTGCATGCACCAACCAATTTAGAACGTGAAAAGTGCAGAGAGATGGATGCTCAATCTTTTTCACCGTGACAATGCCATTCTACTTCCACTCTATTATATTAATTGCAATTCATTTTACAAAGCATACACTGACACACTGTACCTAATTAAATTAGTAAGTACTAACAGGAAAAGAGAAATTAAAAAATAACATGATAATTACTTTCTACGGAAGAGATAGTTTAGACAGTGTAATTAATAAAAACTGTGACTCATAATTTTTTTTTTTTTTATTAATCAAAATATGTCAAGTAAGTAAGGAGAATAAATGGAGCAAAAAGTGAGAGCACGCGTAATATTACTCTTAACTTGACTTTGATGTCTTGTCATTGCTAACATGACAATTATAGAATTTCATTGCACAAATTTGGTAGTTGAGTCATTCAATTGAGTATATTTTAATTTGGTGACTATTATACTTTTGTCCATAATAAAAAGGGTAATTTAACTAAGGGAAAATGGCACTTTTTCCCCCTAAGTTATATACTTATAGCATTTTCCCCCCTCAATTATTTATGTAAGCACATTAGCCCCCTCAATTATTTTAAAAGTGGCAGTTTTTCTCCCTAATATATTAAATTGACATTTCTACCCTTAAAGTAAACATTTTATTTATTTTATTTCTCTAACAAATTATTGCGTATATGTAGCGATTACCACGGTTCGGTTCGAACTGAACCAGACACTATAGCAATCGAATTAAAAGTTTTCAGTTATGATTTAGATCTAGAACCCAATATTTGAATTTCAATTTATTAAATTTAAGAATAAAAAAAAAAACTGGATCATGAACCGTGAACCGGCGATTCCGGATCCAGTTCGCGATTTTGAACCGTCTTTATTTTAAAATTTTATTTTTTTATTTTAAAATAGTCTAAATTCAACAATAAATGTATTTTATTTTTTCATTTCGGAACATGAACCGTCCATTCCGGTCTGCGATTTTAATAAACTCTAAATATCGCGTTTTGATTATAAATTGTAATTGAAATATTTTGGTTTGGTTGCTATAGTATCTGTTTTGTTTGAACCAAATGATAGTAATAATTTGTTGGAGAATAAAAATAAATGGAATATTTACTTTAAATATTTATTTTAAGGTAAATATGTCCATTTAACATTTCAGGGGAAAAAAGAGCCACTTAAATAATTCAGGGGGGAAAAGTGCTATAAGTATATAACTTAAGAGGAAAAAGTGCCATTTTCCCTTTAACTAATGTTTGCTTTTATTTTGTAGGTTGTCAAAATATATACACAACAAATCAAACCAACTATATATATATATATATATATATATATATATATATATATATATATATATATATATATATACACAATAAATCAATACTTAAATCGCGAAGTTGCCAAACAATGAAACAAACAAAAAGTTAGAATTATTGGACTAACTTTGTTGATACTAATCAACTTATGTATATAATTTGCCAAAAACCAGCTGAAGAATCGTACTTGGTTTATTGGAGATCTCTTCTAAAGTAGTTCTAGAAGAAAGGAGAAATATATGATGACTTACTATTTAAATTTAGAATGAATTAAATATTTGTTGTATCAAATGCGTATAAAATATATTTTTATATCATTACAAAATTAAATTAAAATGGATAAAAATATTTTATTTGATTTTATTTTAGGTGACAAGGGAATCTGTAATCACTTTTTAAAGATATAAATATATCTTGAGACTGATTCAATATCTCTTTTTATGTTGTTGGTGTGTATATATTATTTTCACTTTATTATGACTTAAATTTTAAAAAGTTTACCTGTATTTTCAAAAAAAAAAAAAAAGTTTACATGTATTTTCAAAACAAAAAGAAGAAAAGTTTACATGCAATATCAACTTTTTTCCGTTTGATGGAAAAGTTTACAGCTTCGAACACGGTTTAGAATTTTATCCTTTAAGAAGCCTAAAATCACCTTCTTGTTTCTTCCAACCAACAAAGGAAGTCCTAGACACTTTCCAGCTGTGTCCCCTTGCCTAACACCAATTCAAGGATATTAACGACATCATTCATGTTTTGTTGGTCCACATTGGAACTGAAACAACCACTAATTTATCAAAAGTAATCATTTGGCCTGAAGTTGCTGCATACAAATCCAAAACCTCCTTCATTTGGTAGCCTTTCAATTGTGTTCGCACGCAGAAAAATGAAGTAGTCATCCGCGAATAAGAGATATGAGATTGGCGGTGCCCCTCTCGCAATGCTCACCCCATACAACAACCCTCTGCTCATTCTATTATCAATCAATGCACTCAAGCCTTCGGCAACCATTAAAAATAGATATAGCGATAAATGGTCACCCTATTGGAGTCTCATTCCCGGAATGATAGGCCCCAACTGCCTTTGTTCATAAAGAATATGATATTTGATAGAGCTTATTATTTCCAAAAAGATGTTTATCCATTTTTGGTTAAATCTCATTTTTAGAATAACAGCTCTTAGAAACCGCCACTCCACCCTATCATAGGCCTTGCTCATATCAATTTTAAGAGCTGCCACTCCACCATTCCCCTAAGTCTTTCGTTTAAGGTAGTGGTGAGTCTCGTATGTCAACATTATGTTATCTATAATTAGAAGTCGCGGACTCGCGGCACAAATGCACTATGCATTTTATAAATGATCTTATCAAGGAGGGGTTTCAATCTATTCGCACATACGTTTGCTGTAATTTTGTAAGGGACATTACATAGTGCGATGGGTCGAAGATTCTTCATTGTCTCGAAGTTAGAGTTAGAATAATGTATTTTATAAAGTAAAATGATGTATTTTATGTGTTTTTGGACAGATTGTGAAAATGAGGCGTATCATTCTTTCAAAAACTTGCGGTTCCCATAAAAGCCCATAGGAATAATCCGTTCATCGTATTTTTTGATACCGCGACACGTCATACCTTACACCGAGGCTCTCGCCGAAGTGGGCCCCATTTCCATTTATTTATATTTTTCCACTTGGGTTATTTCACTCTCTTCCGAAGATCCCCAAAACACCACACACGTCCCTCCCTCATTTCGCCAACCTCTTCCTGTAAGCTCTCTCTCTCTATCTCTCTCTGTATGTATTTATGTATGTATGTATCTATGTATGCATTTCGTCTGTGCAATCGCTTAGCTAAGCGAAGTTACGTTTTTTGTGTATGCTGATTGATTTGCAGTTGGAGTGAAAACGGAGAAATGGCGATGTTCAAGGTCAGTCGCGTTGAAACCACGCCGTTCGAAGGCCAGAAGCCTGGAACTTCTGGTCTCAGGAAGAAGGTTCGACTTTCGAGACCTCATTCATTCACTATAGCTACTTGTTTTGATTTATTCTTTTAAATTTTTTTTTAGTTATTTTCTGGAATCAGCTAAAACTGGTTCCTGTTCAAACTCCTATACGTATCTGTTAAATCGACTCGATATGATCACTGAAATGTGTTTTGTTCAATTTGATCTACTTCAGTGGCTTTCTTATGTTGCTCTGTTTTGATTAGTTGTGATCTGTGATTGCAATGCGTTTTGATCGGAATGCGGATTTGGATCCTATGCATCTATGATCATCGGAAGTAGATCTAGTGGGAAAACTTTCATCTCTTTATACTGCTTTACCTCTAGACCTCTATGGTGCGACCATTTAACGTTAAGATTTTGCTCCAGACACTGTCATTATAAATGCACAACTTTTATGTATATATGAATCAGATCAAGCATCTACACCAATTAAAACTGCTACAGATGTGTAGAGAATTTGGTGATTTATTAATATTATTTTATTGGCTTAATGGTGGAAAAGACAAATTTTTATACTTTATATTCTAATCTATAAATTTTAACTCTGTATCTTGTTATATTCAATTATGCTTAACAATTATATTTAGATCTTTACTTTCAAAAAAAAATAAAAAAAATATTTAGATCTTTAAAATTTGACAATTTAACCTTTGTACTTGCTAATTTATATCTTATTATTGATCTAAGAAAAAAATCAACTTACCTTGACTTTACTGACTTGGCTATTAGTTGACACAAATTATTTTAAAAATAGCACCTTAACTTCATTTTTAAACACAATGTATCAAATATCTACAATTTTCAATCTAAAAAAGTTCTACCTATACAAAATTAGGTTCAATATTATAGCCACCAACTACTTTCTAAATCATGAAATCAAGAGAGTATTATTTTTAGGGTTACATAATACAATTGTATATAGTTTTCACATGATACAAATGTTTGATATTAAATTGTAAAAATTTAGATGTTTGGATAATTGTTTAATGGCACGAAGTTCCTTTTTTTTTTTTTTTGGTTTTTTCCCCCCACCAATAAATTTACTTTATTACTTTAATATTATTAAAGGATTCTTGAGGCTGTTAGACAATCCAATTTCTGTCCTACTTATGTTAAATGCTTGTAATTCTATATTATTTTACAGTTATTTCCATGATTTTGCTTCAGAAAATCTTGTAAATTTCACTTGGTTGGTTAGTGCTTGATTTTAATAAATTATTCTGATGAACTGTTTCAGGTGAAGGTATTCAAGCAGCCTAAGTACTTGGAGAATTTTGTTCAGTCAACATTCAACGCCCTTGGAGCTGAGAAAGTCCGAGGTATAAAATTGTGATTTTTTTTTTTTTTTTTTTTCCTTTTTCCTCCTGTATTTTTAAGTTCTATTATTGCCAAAGCAATGTGCCCTGGGTTTGTTTGATACAACAATTCCATGTCGGTTAGAATTTTAGGTGGTAGAATTGTTTGGATTTTTATTTGTTTGACTTCGGTAGTTTTCATTAAATTGAAGTCTAACTATGTTTTATAAAGATGTGGGCTATAGGGTGCTCCATATTTTATTTACTGTTATTATCATTTCTATAATTGCTACCATTATTTTAGAAATTATGGTGTTGATACTGAGGTAGAGAGAAAATTTTGTCATATTTGAAATGCAGTTTTAATTTGTTTTTGATGATTTGATGATATATGCAATTAATTGAAGATGACTGCCTTGCACCTTTTTTTTTTTTGGTTCCATTTCCTTTTGAAAGGAAAGATGATATATTAATCAAATAAGTCAAGCCTCAAGCAGTCTAAAATAACTGGAGATGGAACAGAAATTCTAGAGATACAATCAGACATAGAACATACTGCCCTAGCTAGTGTATGAGCAACTCTATTCGCTGACCGTTTTACATAAGTAAAATCAACATTAGGAAAATTCCTAGCTGTTTCTTTAATGTTTTCCATGATAAGACCTGAATGGGAGAACACTATTGAAGCTTGCAATTCTTGAATAACTTGAAGGGCATCGATTTCCACTTGAACATTGTTGAACTGCATGTCTTTAATCCAGCTTAGTGTTTCCCTTACACCCACTGCTTCCACTCCTTTAGCCATAAAAATCCCTCTCTAAGGAATGCATTCGCTGCCACAAAATCCCCATTTTCATCTCTAATATCACACACCATTCCCATCTTCCTTGAGTTCTGATCTATAGCTGCATCTACATTAATTTTAATCCACCCAGTTGGGGGTCAAGTGACTGACAGCGACTAGGAAAAACCTGTGCTTGCATATTTTGCACTGAAATCTTCCACAGAAAATAAAAGTAATGCAGGTTGAAAGGTAGTTTCATTCCCTAATTGTTAAATTCACATTTGATTGAGTTAAGGCTGACTTTACATCTACTCTGCTATTTGTCCAAGCTCTTAAAACAAAACTCTGTCTAAGGCATAGTTCACTACTCAACCCGAGGATGAAAGAAGTAACCTTAGAATATCATTTTACTTATATATATATTTTGATCATGTGTTCCACTATGGATATGAATCAGGGTTTGATTCCCATTGTTTTCTGTTGGCTTACTGTATTAAGTTTGGTTAAATTGATGTGTAACATGAATTTCATTGCGTAAGTTTTTGATTAAGGCTAGTTCATACATAAAGTTTTTAGTGATTATGATTATATGAGGAATTGGTGTCTTCATTATGGAAACTGTGTTTATGCTTTCATGGAAGATATTTAGAGTTTCATGTTTCTGTGATATCTAAATCTGTGTTCTAAGTGCTGGGGATGAGATTGGGTTTCCTTTTATAAGTTTATTAGCGTTAATAGTTAGTTTGGCATCTGCATTACCAATTAAATGGCTTTCCTTGCCATTACTGTATTAAAACAGTTATTTTCTTTTTAAGTGCATCTCGATGATATACTTTCTATCAAATTATTGATAGTCATACGACTACGTGCATCCTTGTAATTGCATTGCCATCTGTGCAGGTGCTACACTTGTTGTCTCTGGTGATGGTCGGTACTTTTCCAAGGATGCAATCCAGGTGAGTTTCATGAATTTCTTAATGGAACTTTTAGGTTGTCTTAACTAGAAATTATCATTTAATTGGGGGGAGAGAATTTGGTCACCGTAATCCTAAATCAGTGATCACAACTCAATTCAGACCATATTTTATAATTTCATGGTTAAAGCTGTCTCCTTGCATTTTGGGGTGATCTGGCATCTTCTAATTTGCCTGTGATATTCAGTGTTGCTTATCCTTCCATAAACATTTAGAGGAACTGGGAACATAAGTAAAAGCTTATGTTTGTGATTCTGTGCTGCTGCTTTTCCTTCTATAAATGTTATAGGAACATAAGAAAATTGAATATTTCAATTTGTAAATTCTGAAGAAACTAAAGGACCTTATACTTCAGGTTGTACAAAAAATTTTCTTGTGGTACTTCTATCTTCCAATGTACAAATGCTGCATCTATCATTATGTAGCGTGTATGCCATATCATCTTAGTTTTTGAAATAGCATATGTGTCTCAATATCTGTTATGCAATAAGGAGTTGTCTTCAAATCTTTGCTTATTTGATCTACTGGCTGTTATTTAGACAGTAAAACATCTGCTTATTAGAGTGTATTTTGGGTTTTATAGTGAGATTTTTAGATTGGCATTCATGGTGAAGTGATGATGAAACTATGCCTGTAGTGTTGGGTATGTGACCAAAAGCAAGAAACCCAATATAATTGCTTTATAAATGGTATCTGTTGTTGCTACAGTTACTGGAAGCCATTATCATAATATTCTGTACAACCCCCAAAGATGACTTTGGAAGTAACTACATACTTGACCCAGGCAGTTGTTTCATTGTGTGTGATTTTTTGGTATTGAATGTTGTGGGTGAATATTATGGTTTAGTCTTGAGCTTTGGAATCCATATATAAATATATATTTATATTGAAGGTATGGGGGTGTTAGGAGCATAGGCTTGACTTATCTCCATGTATCTAATGTCAAGACTCAAGAACCCGCTAAATATAAACAGGCTAAACCTTGGAGCTAACTGTACATTGACATTTGTGGCCTGAAAGAGTTGAAAGTTGCTTAGTTGGCATTGGATTTGCTGCTTTGGTTGCACTGTCTTGGTGTAATGCTTGTGTGTTGCATGTGCTTATCACTATATGGGTTGAGAGATATTAGTGGTGAATTAAAATGTTGTTGAGAAGTTGAATTCAATTGTTGAAAAGTTATGGGAGGGGTTGATAGAAAATGGTTAACTTCTTTAGCATCTCCTATTTTCAAAAAAATCAATATTTTCAACATCTCTTATTGCAACTTCAGAACCTATCACGCAAACGTCCATCTTAGTATTTTCAAAGCCATGTTCTTCCTTCAAATATTATTGAATATCATGAATGAATCTCAGCTTTGTATTTTCATTGATCAATTTAAACTAAGTCCTCTATAACAATTTGTCAATTTCAACACCTTTATTTTTTCAATTTTAGCAAAATTGTTACAATTTGCTAGGCAAGCAAGATCTATTGCAGGTTGTTTATCCTGCATGGGATCTAAGCTCATTAGCAAACTGTAAGTTCCTTCAGTTTCACCTTGGGGGAATTGGATGATTGTTTTCTAACCTCTTTAAGCATGTGATTGTCCTCCCTTCAAGGTAGTATTCTTCCTTTGAATTCTTGGTATCAGCTATAAACATATAGCACATGTTGGAATATATCATGGTAAAACTCCTTTGTTATGGTTGTTTGAGTATAGGATATATTTCTTTGGATTGGTGCAAGTGTAATCTTCATCCCATCCTTAACAAGCTTGTATGATAATCCCATTCATCAAATTGTCATGGTCAACTAAACACAAGATGGGCATGCACTCTTTCATATATGTAATATCATGTACTACTTATAGCATTTTCCAATTGACAAAGGGACTTGACACCTCTCTGCCACCACAATTTCTTTTCTTTTTTCATTCATCCATTTTGTAAGGATTTTGTGTGTCTTTTAATGTATTCCCAATAAATTAAATTTGCAAGGCTATATGTAATAAACTAATAATGTTCTCACAACTCCTTCCTTCCATCAATTATAAGATTGAAAGCACATTCTGATAGTGGACCTCTGGAACAGGTTGTGTTGTGAGCTTTTGTTTGTTTTCATCTTTCAAACCAATAAGTGCTGGACTATATTCTCCTTTATATGGTCCTGATAGGATAAGTTGATTTTGGGCAATTCCCACAATGGTCTGCTGGCCAATAATTTGAATGCCCATGGGTACATTAAATGGGAACAGTACTATATTGTTGAGCAGCCATTGACCTTGAGGAACCCCTGGCTCTGATGACACTTGATACTGGGAGAAACATGTTAGGTCTGATCTTTCTGAGGCAAAGAAATTTGTAAAAGCCCTAAGGTCTTATTTTTGCAAGAAACAGGCAGAGAAAGAAAATCAATTTTTCGTTTCTAGAACAGTTCTATATTTCGATATGCACTATATTTCTACAGGTGTATTTATAGGTATGAGATATGCTTAATATATCTAGTGAATTAACTAGTTTTAGAAACTAAAATTAAGAAATTAAATTAAAAATAAAGTTGGAGCCAAATTAATCTAGGAATGTAAAGTATTAGGATTTTAATTACTAAATCTATGAGGAAAAAGTGAAAACTATCCCTAGTCATTTTAGGGAAATAGTATTGATGATCTTGATTTTTGCCAACTTGTTAATCTTGATGAACTGGTGAAAACCAAAGGAGCTCCTGTATTGATCAGGATATTGCTTATCAAACTATTAGTCATCCTACAGCGTTTCATATAGGGTTGGCAATTTGAACTTTATTCTATCTGTTCTTTCTGCAGATCATTATTAAAATGTCAGCTGCAAATGGAGTCAGACGTGTTTGGGTTGGTCTAAATGGATTAATGTCTACTCCTGCTGTATCTGGTGTCATTCGTGATAGAGTAGCGGCTGATGTAAGTTCTTTCCTGCAGTTGTTTCTTGTTTGTTTTTCTGCCTCTTAGTGTGTGTTTCAGGGCTTATGCAAGTTCTTTCCTGTGGAAAGATATGTTTTGTTTCTTGTTTGTTCATTTGGCTGTTAGTGTATTTTCTTCTCTTGTTACATAAAACTATATCCATAACTATTCTAATCTCTGTTTCTCTACTACTCCTGAATGCAGGGATCAAAGGCAAACGGGGCATTTATATTGACTGCTAGCCACAACCCTGGTGGCCCGACTGAGGTTGGTTCCTGCAGTCCTGCATTGTTTATTCTGATATCCTCTTTTTCCTTATGGCACAAGCTGTCAAAATGATTGAAAATACCCATGTTTCTTGTGCTGATGGATCTATTGCATGCTCCTTACTAGAATCTTTTACTTTTATTTGTTGTGGCTCTCTTATAGGATTTTGGAATTAAATACAACATGGAAAATGGTGGTCCTGCACCAGAAGGTATTACTAACAAGATCTATGAGATCACCACAACAATAAAGGAATACTTGATTGCAGAGGACTTGCCTGATGTATGCCTTGCTCCTTGGGAAATATTTTTTAAATTAATAATTTAATTGTCCTTTGATAATGTAGAAATCTTATGTATTTTTATTCTTAAATTAAATTACAGGTGGACATCTCTGCAGTAGGTGTGACAAGCTTCACTGGACCAGAAGGACAGTTTGATGTCGATGTTTTTGATTCAACTACTGACTATGTGAAATTGATGAAGTATGTTATCTATGCCATTTAATTTGAATAAGTGGCTGCTCCTCATTGATAGTTAGTATTGAATTAATAAGTTTCCTCTAATTTTTATGAAGTTATTAATGCTGTGCAAGTTATTGCAGAGTTAAAAAAAAAAAATCTTTTTAAAATCAATTAGTAAGTTTCATGGTTGCTGAGTGATACTACTTTTATAGTTCTGGTTTGCTGTTTTGTTTTTCCCATATCTTGCTCTATGTGATGAACTTTGAGATACATAGGGAGTTATTTTGTGACTTATTTATCATTTGAATTTTATTTAAAAGATTTTTTTAGCTGCAGTTTATAATTTTCCCAATTTTTAGCATTCCTTGGATTACATTTCTTTCTTTTTTTTTTTTTGGCCAAAAATATGACATGCTGATCTCTTTTCAGGTCAATTTTTGATTTCCAGTGTATTCAGAAATTGCTTTCATCTCCAAATTTCACATTTTGGTAAGTGCTATTTTATTGTGTTTTGATCCATTGCTAGGAATTCCTTTCTTAGAATTCTTGTTTTCCATTTAAGAATGTTTGTTGAATGCTAAAACATGTATTATGACTTAGCTATGATGCACTTCATGGTGTTGCTGGAGTTTATGCTAAACGTATATTTGTGGATGAGCTGGGTGCTAAAGAAAGCTCCCTGCTAAACTGTGTTCCAAAGGTCTTGATCTTATCCATATTTTGTAAGAATGAAATTATTGATGTTATACCACTTGTCTCCCTCATAGCAGTATTTCTCTGTTTTCTATATTATTTCATCTGAGCAGGAGGACTTTGGTGGAGGTCATCCTGATCCCAATCTGACCTATGCAAAGGAGTTGGTTGCTCGCATGGGACTGTCTAAGACTCACCCCGAGTCAAACCCACCTGAATTTGGAGCAGCCGCTGATGGAGATGCAGACCGCAACATGGTCCTTGGGAAGAGGTGATTTTTTCTTTTTCCCACTTAAAATTCCTTTCATGCTCAGTGTTGTGGGTTTTATTTCGTTTTATTTTTATGAAAGTTTATAAATTTATTGTTTTTGATTGCAGGTTCTTTGTGACTCCTTCTGATTCTGTTGCTATAATTGCTGCTAATGCAGTTGCTGCAATCCCATACTTTTCTGGTGGCCTGAAAGGAGTTGCCAGGTCTTCATTTTGCTTGACACTCTTTTTACTATAATCTAGAATCCTGTAAATGGTTTCCCAAATAATACCATGCATGCTTAATGCCATTACTATATGCAACTGCTTTAATCACAGGAGCATGCCCACATCAGCTGCTCTTGATGTGGTGGCTAAACACCTCAACTTAAAATTTTTTGAGGTATGGATTCTTTTGCCTTTTTTTGTTTTTTTTTTTTTAATTTTATTTTATTTTATTTAATTTATTGCAGTTTTTGGGTTAAAGGGTACATCAGTTGTGACGTGGGATTTGAACTGCTAAACACTAAGCCAAGGAGACCTCTTAGCATACACCAAGGGTCTTGCCTAAATCTTTGTTTTAATTAATGTTGCTATCTGTTTCCAGGTGCCCACAGGTTGGAAGTTTTTTGGTAACTTGATGGATGCTGGAATGTGCTCAGTTTGTGGTGAAGAAAGCTTTGGAACTGGTATGAGTTCTGGCCTCGTTCGGTATTTAATTTCATACCAATATCCTTACTTCTGCGGGCATTTTATATATATTTTGGTTTTATTTATATATATATATGAACAGGCTCAGATCATATTCGTGAAAAGGATGGAATTTGGGCTGTTTTAGCCTGGCTAAATATTCTTGCCCATAAAAATAAAGATCTAAGTGGCAAGCTTGTAACGGTAGAAGATATTGTTCGCCAACATTGGGCCACTTATGGACGTCACTATTATACTAGATACGACTATGAGGTATCTATTACTCCGTATTATTTATTAGTAATTTATACATGCATTATTCACATCCATGAATTATTATTGTAGGGGATTATGACATGTTATTAACAACTGACCTTTTGTTCTGCAAGAATGTTGATGCATCTGGTGCAAAGGAACTGATGGCTCATTTAGTCAAGCTGCAATCCTCCCTTGATGAAGTTAACAAGTAACCTACTCTTTATTTTCAGGAGACTTTCTTTTATAAATTTTCAGAATTCTCATGCATACTTTTGGTTACTTTTCAAACTTGTTCTTGGTTTTAATTTTTGGTTACCTCCTTGTATATGAAAAATACAACATAAAAGAATAAAGGTCTCTGTAACTTTTAATTGATTATACTAAAGAATATAGCATCGATGCCCGAATAACTTTACAGCAACCACCTTTTTTTATTTGTCTTGGAATATCCTGGTTAGAAATTCTGTGAAACCAAGAAGATATGATCAATATAGTACCTCTACTGGGATTTGTTTAATGAGCCAATGCTTGCTTTATTGTGTGCTATTGTTTGATAGATGATTTCAAGGTCAACTTTCCTCTTCGATTTTTAAGTACTAAGTTGTTGGTTATGGTATCACAATCACCCACATCTAATGAAAAGGTCATACTGAGTGTTCCCTGAAACTGAATGCGAGATGCTTTGACCTCTGCATTAGGATACCAAAGTTTGGAGCATTTGTTGCCTCCATCCGAAACCACCATTTAAATGTGCCCTGTTTAGGTTATTAACCCATCACCGCTGTCCTTAGGCTATCGAACTGACATTGTTCTGTTTCCTTCATATTTACAGGATTGTAGCAGGAATACGGAATGATGTTTCAAAGGTTGTCCATGGTGATGAATTTGAGTACAAAGATCCTGTTGATGGCTCCATCTCAAGTCATCAGGGTATCCGGTATCTCTTTGAAGATGGGTCACGATTGGTAAGGAGTTTTCCTCTGCACTGTCCATGGTTTATAGTGTTTGTGAATTTGCACTGACATGCTACTACTTTAATCTATATTGATGTTCTAAATACATTTCTCGATATTTATGTGACACATTAATTACTCTGGAATCTCCGATTTATGTGATACACGCAAGGTTTTCCGTCTGTCTGGAACTGGTTCTGAGGGTGCAACCATCCGACTGTACATTGAGCAATATGAGAAGGATGCGTCCAAGATTGGAAGAGAATCTGCGGATGCACTTGCCCCTCTTGTAAGCTTTCTTGTAGCAAGCTTTACTATACCCTTGCTGCCTGCTTAGTTTTTTCTTTTTCAAAATATTGACTCTTTAATCTTGGCACAGGTGGAGGTTGCTCTTAAACTGTCTAAGATGCAGGAATTCACTGGCCGATCCGCCCCAACTGTTATAACATAAATAGTTGGTCTGCTTTAATTATTAGTCTGTTTTTTTTGTATATCCTGACAAAACTATAATAAAGTGTTTACCGTTATTATATTGACCGTTCGGTCAAACACACCGCATATATGAACAACTATATATGCAGAGGAATGAGAGGATTTTGGGGTTATCATTTTGTAGTATTGTATGATTCTATGAGTGTATTGCTGATTGAGTGATTGGTTATCCATATCCTCCGTAAGTTTTGTTTTAATTTTTACAATATAGCTTTGAGCCTTTCATACTAGGGGGGTGGGTCTTCTTTTGCAAATTGCCTACTCTTGAGTCTTGATGCATATTTTTAGTATGAGATTGTCGGTCTAGGTTTCAAATGGATTTTGACACAAATATAATTAGCTAACAGCTAAGCAATTACCTAAAAGCTAATTAATCATCCAACACCTAAAAGCTAATTAATCATCCAACACCTAAAAGCTAATATAAGTATGGTAATATCATATGTGATCTATAATAATATTGGGTAGCTACAACAATTTTAATGTTTATGATTCAAATCATTTGATTGAATCAAACATTACTTATATATTTATCTCACTCAATAAGAATTAGGTAAAGAGATTGTCTCAATCAATAGCAAGGACAGATACTGCAAAATATTGGTGAGGATCAAAAGTTTTATTTAATGTAGCTTAAGGATCAGAAGTGAATAGATTCCAAAGACAACATTATATTGTGGTCACCTTACCACAATATTCTTTCTTCAACAATTCCATCTTCGTCTTACAACTGTCCCTTATTTTTATACGGAGACAACTTTTTTCATAGTTTATGAACTTCATTTGTTTCTTCATGTTACAAAATAATTTATATTAACAAAACTTACCCATTAAATTCAAGAAAATTTGTATCCTGTTTGGTTAATTGGGCAAGTCTCTCTCAGATAGTCTCGATTGTAGATACAGATAGCTAGGTGATCATGATTGCCATCCAATTTTTAAGACTATGAAATTTGATTTTAACATTTTTCACTTGCCAATATGGTAGAAATAGGAAAAAGAAAACACATACAAAAGGAAAAAAGGAGAAATTAAGAGAGAGTGTGGGGAACCACTAAAAAAAAGTGTATGATTGAATCATAGTATACTAAAAAATTGCATGATTAACAATTTAATGAACTCCATTATTAATTCCCCATAACAAAAAATTGCAATACGTGTATAATATTTAAAAAAACTCACACAACAACTAGTGGGTGGGGGAGGAGGGCAGCTGCTCCCACTGCCCCACCGTAGCTCCGCCCCTGACAATAACAACAAATATATATACTTATGTATAAGCTAAGGTGACAAAATTGTATAAAAATATACTCAAGTTTTAATTTTCTTACTAACATACAAAAAGACAATATAATTGATACCGAAATATCTTATACAAAGTCTTACATTTATACCATTGGATATGAGAAATTAATTTTTTTTAATAAAAAGTAGTAAGTTTAGCAAGTATATATGTGGACTCAATATAACTCGATCGATCTCCTGTAGCCATTTTCCATGAGCGGAGGAATAATAGCATAATGGGCGACAAACCAAAAGAAACTACATATTATTCCCTCATTTATACTTCACTTTTTACTTTTTACAATTCACGATGACGCCGTAACTAACCTAACGCCTCATTCATCACGGCGCCGTTATATTACTCGCGAAATAGTTAACCAAAGCCAATGCATTGCTCGTCACCTGCTTAACCTTCATGACGCGATCACAGACGTCCGTTTTCAGCGGCCCATCCCCCACGCCCTCGAATCCGTCCGCACACGTGTCCTCGTTCGTCTCCGCCGCGCTCATCCACGTCTGCACATTGCTCATCTGGAACCTCAGCTCCTCGTCCGAGCCGCCGAGCTGCTTCAGCTGCGCCAGCGAGTCGTGCATTTGGTCCACGCTGTCGCTGAACGCCGAGGAGCAGTCCTGGAGCGCCGCCGCGGCTTCCGGCTCGGCCCCGCCGAGCCGCGACAGGTTGTCCAAGTGAGCCGCCGTGTGCTTGGCTCCGTTCAGGCTCAAGCTGATGGCGGCTCGAGCCAGCCGGCCGCGGTCCTGCTGCACGCGGCTCGCGAACGGCGCCATGGTGTTGTAGCATATTTCCGGGTATAGTGTGCTTTGGCAGCTTGTACGGATGAACTCCGAGTCGTTCTCGGCGCCGCCGGGAGCCGGAGTTGGGGCGGCGGTGTCGAGCGGCCCCACCGCGGCGGAGCGGTGGAGGAATATGACGGTGAGGAGGATGTAGATAGAAAGTGAAGGTGTGGCTTTCATGGCTTAATTAGCTTGAAGCTTTTTAGACTTGTTTGGAAAGTTATAATACTACAAAGTGTGAGGGAAAGGAGAGGTTGATGGGGGTATAAGTAAGGAAAATGTTGTATCTTTGAAATTACCTTTATGCCCTTGATATGTGTGAATTGGCTACATTTGGTGGATTTGGCATTATGCATGTTTGTATGTTGCATGTCTTGATTGTGAGGATGTGATGATGAGTTTGATGTGGGCTTTCACACATATCAAGGGCATAAAGGTAATTTCAAAGATATATATATAACGTTTTCCTTACTTATAAGTTTGATGTGGCTTTCACCCTATCATACATCAACTCTTACTTTTGGAAAATGATAACTAGTGTATCCTAAAAATAAAACTTTTACTATATATTTTAATTTTATTTTATTAGAGAAAGTATGAGAAAGAAATTAAATGCAAAATAAAGGGAAAAGAGTGAGATACATATAGTTGAATAGGATTAAGGACAACCATCGCTTCACATACAAGAGCCTCGGCTTCAACTCACTCTAGATTTTTGACCTTGGCCCAAAATAATAATTTGGATAGAGTAGTCCTTTAGTGAGTGAGGGCCTACGACCCAAGACAGAATGGTGTGAGACATAAGGCACGCTCGATCTATCACTGTTTTGGAAACTCAACTATATAGTGTTAGGGTAATTATGGAAACCGTTGGAACTTAAGAAAGCTAGACAATAGTTATGAAAAGTTATTTACCTAATTTATGTGGTGGACCATTAAAGAGACTCCCTAACTTGTCATTTTTTTATTTTATGCGGTAAGTCAATTCACCAGTAATCTATGAAAATAAATAATTTTTCTTTTAAAATGTATGAGTGACTAATATCTTTGAAATTACATTTATGCCCTTAATTTGTGAATTGGCTCCATTTGGTGAACTTGGCATTATGCATGTTTGTATGTTTGCATGTCTTGATAATGAGGATGTGAGGCTGATATGGGCTTTCAGCCTATCATACATCATCAATTCTTACTTTTGAAAAATAATAAGTGTATATTAAAAATAAAATTTTCACTATATGTTTTAATTTTATTAGAGAAAGTAAAAAAGAAATAGTAAAATAAAGAAAGAAAAATGCGATTATTTTTATTATGAACTAATTAAAATTAAACATGCTAGGTAAGTAAAGGAAAAAATGAGTAAAAAGAAAGGAGTTGAAAGTGAAAATACATACTATTGAGTAAGTTTATAATAATAGTATAAAAGTCGTTGGAACGATTATAGAAAGTAGTTTGTATTGATGAGTTCTGAGTTCAATATTGAGCATGTCCTTGTTGTTACATGGACTCATCTTTTATACTATATAATGGTAATGGTTACAATAATTGACACAACGTAACGGCCTCCTAATCACTGGAATAACTCCCCTCAATAAGTGTCATGACTCCTTAGAAATTATTGTGCGCTCTCCTTTATAACTTATGCTCTTTGATGATGCGGTGCTCTAATAAGTGTATTTGGCTCTGCATTAGTGCATTGTTCCACATACTCTCTGCTTGACTCTGACCATTACTATATGATTATGTTAATTGCTTTGACTCCTTCAGACCAAGAATTTTTTGGGTCGGATATAGTACCATGTAACCCATAATATATATTTCATAAAACAAAATACTCCGTAATTAAATCGTACATCCTCATATAGTGCCATCATATTATATCATTTTTCTTTAAAAAAAATTTCCACCCACAGAATATTCCCCAAGCCTTAGTCACCTAGTGTTGGGTCCATGGGACTATACCTATTTAATCATAAAAACAAATAATAAGACTAAAATATTATTCTCAAAGTCCCACACTGCTTATTTCATTGTCATTTTTATAGTCAAATGCAATTAAATTTTAACTTTTTAACTTTTTATGTTTCCAAGTTAGATGTTGACAATTTATGTACGGAGTATTAACTATTATTTCCAAATTTAATTTAAAAATTAAAGAATTACTCGTCTTGTTTTTAATTTTATAAGCTTAAATTCCAAATTTAAAAGCTTATTATATATTGCTCCTACTTTGAAGACTGATGGAGAAAGTAAATCGCAAGAAATGTCTTATCTTTACTTATTTTTATCGAAGTACATATTCTTTTTTTAAAAAATGTTATATTTTTTTTTTTAAAATTGCAATTAATGTTAAATTGTTCATAATTTTATTATTATTATTATTATTATTATTATTATTATTATTATTATTATTATTATTATTATTATTATTATTATTATTATTATTATTATTATTATATTCATTGGTTGTCCATGGCGGCATAAATTATTTGACCTTATCAAGAGTTTTAAAAAGTATATATTATGAATTAAATTTAGGAAAGAAATTTGGCAGCAGGACTCTTATTTTTATTATTAGTTAAATATTGTGTTTTGCATGTTTAAATAAATGTTCCATGAGAAATTATATTAAAATTATGAGAAAATAATGACAATAAAAATGATTAATACATTTAAAATGAAAAAGAAATGTAAAAATTGAAAAATAATTGAAAGTATATAAAAATAAACATAATGTTTTTTTATACCAAAAAAAAAAACTTAATATATAAGCTATTATATCTAATGGTGTTAATTATTTAACAAATTTTTACGACTTAAAGTGGAAAAAGAATGTGGTAATTAAAATTGAAAAAGATTTGTTAGTGTATAAGAAACTAAACACAATATACAAGCTACCAATGCAACTAATTATACCAAAAATACATTTTGTATTTTATTATTAAAATCTTAATTATCATTATTAACTCTTATATAATTTTTAAGTATACAAAATATCAATATAACTTAATTATTACATGGACAAAACAATGGAATGTTTCGGTGCATCATATCATATCTTTACATAGTAGAATAAGACGGTTGATTTTCTTACAAATGATTCCCTCCATCATCGTAGGGGCTTACATGTTATTGAGTCCCCTAGACCCCTAAAACGACGCTTTAACAACGATATGCTTGATGTTGCTTCACTTCATAGAATAATCAGAGAAGATTAAGTTATTACTTTTCCCTCCAATCTAAAAAATATATATTACTTAAAACTTTTTATTAAAACTTTAATATTATTGATTTTTATATAATTTTTATATTAGATTAAATATAACACACATTTCTATGACATTAAAGAAGCAAAGCGTTATCATTTCGGATCTCACACTTTATTCATTAGCAATATATTTTTACTTTATTGTTTGGCCTCTAAAATAATAGCTTTTGCAATTTTGCCGCTCTTGGGTCATGTCAACGATATATATATATATATATATATATATTCTCATTAATCATATAAAATTTTAATTAGAGTGGGGATAGATGGATGTAGTATCAATTGTCTAGCAATACCAATACAAAATTAGATATGAATCTAGCGATGCAAGTACACTTGAATATGGTGTTAGAAGATACTTAATATTGATTCATAACGCATTTTTTTGAATACTATTAACTCTATTACAATGCAGTATATGTCCATACTTTCTCAACCTACTGAAGCACAGAGAGTCAATAACGTCTACTGAAACTCAAACGCATTTAATATTAATTATAATTAATTGTATGCATTGATCGTGAATAAGTAAATATATAACTGGTGTAAGGTACTCAACTCAATAATAATATTTTAAAAGTGATTATTTTGATAATTTAAAAAAATTATTATAAATACTTTTCACACTACACCTATCTTTAATTATAATTGATGGTAGATGCCTCCAACACTAATGTTTATGGATTTTTTTAATGATATTTGCTTGTTGGCTAAATTGTTCACTAGCAAAAAAATAAAAATAAAAAATTCACTAGCATCACATTTTTGTCCATCTCTCTAGAAAAGTAGTTATCTCCACACCTTGGTTGGCAATCAACTAAGGTATGCCCTCTTGGAATTGATGATTTTTCAGTTACATATGATTGTTGCAAAGGTTGTCCACCACACATTCGATGCAACTAAGGTATGTATAGCCTCTTGGAATTCATCAACTTTCAACCATCAAAATTTGCACTCCAATTCCAGAGCCTACTACATCTATTTTAGAGACTTAGCGGGTTTGATAAACAGTTGTTAGCTGATTGTAGAAAGATATTTGGTAAATTAGCTATTAACTGATATTGATTATATGTAAAATAACTTTCTCAAAAAGTTGATTGAAAAAAACTATTTTGAGCAGCTTTTTGAATTTTAATATTTTGAAACAATAAACTGTTATAAAATGCTAATCAATTAAACACTTATATTGAATGTTTAACCAAGTCAAATAACTAATAGTGATCAAATAAGTCAAAATTGACTGATAAACTAACTAAATCAATTAATTCTGCACTTTACTGGTATACGTCAACAAAGTTAAATTATCAATTTCATCATTTTAAGTTGATCAATCGGTTGAGCTATATCCGAATTTGTTATCTATGGTTGCTACAAAGGTTGTTCCACCATTGATTATCAACTATTTTGTCATGAGAGAGAGAGAGAGAGAGAGAGAGAGAGAGAGAGAGGATGAATATTGTGCCTACTTTTCCATTCACAGACGGCAGACAAAAAGCAAAAGCTTGTGAAGAGATGAAGACAGCCCCTTTCCACTTGTGACTTTGTGTCTATGTTAATGGCCCATCTCATAATTCATAACTACCATTATATTTATTTCCGTATCAATAAATATCCCACTTTCTTAACACTCAATCATATCATCATATACTTTTATTTATTTCAATTCTGTCTTGACCACAATAAAATAAATCAGTCTAAATTGCTTATAATTGATCAACTCAAAACAAGAAGACTAACAAACCATTTCTACTAAGAGTTGAACTTGAAACTTTATGCTTATTAAGCCAACAACTCGACCAACTTTACTAGTATTATAGCATATATTTTTTGATTTATGAAAAAGTCTGTAACGCCTAATCGAATGTGCATTCTAGGTGAAACGTAACCTGTCTTGTGACCCTAACTGACAAAGGATTACAATGAGCTAGGTAACCAACCTACGTTGCCCCAAAATTGACCAGTTCAAACTAAGAAGAGTAATAAACTGCT